TTTATGTACAGGTACCACTTGGAGACTGAAATTCCATCCGGTTAAGACTCATGTTTTATTTCCAGTAAATAGTTAAAGAAGGGAGCAAAGCCCTGACAATGAGTTATAAGCGCAATGTCAGTTCTGTAAGCTTTGTACGTAGTGACATCTCACTTTTAAAAAGGCCGTTCCTAACCTGGAGAACAGACGCCTCTGCAGCCGCTCATTATGAGTACCGACGCTGCGTTGTGGACTGCACATAACTTCATTACTCCTCATTACCTTCATTACTTCAAATTAATAAATTTTAATTCTTTTAACTGTTGAAACTGTTGAAATTGTGTCAAAATGTAAAAAAAGGTTTGTGAACTCCAGCATAAAATTTCAGAAACATCCCTCGTCTTTTCAACTTGACATACTTTTAATTACAATTGAGAAACAAAAAGTCTATGAAACGTCACTTAACAGCATTAAAAGTCACTGACACGCCTGTTTACTGTTTGCTTTGTAGAGTTGTTGTTGTTGTTGTTGTTGTTATTCTGTGGTTTCGCTTTTTGTTGATATTGCAATGGCTAGGCTATTCTCGCTTAGTGTTTTGCAAGCGTAAAGGATCCGTGGGCGCTTTAGTAAGTGACTTTGAAAGTGAGAATCGAAACGCAACATCAGCAGCAGCAACAACAATAACAACAACAACAGCGACAGCGGCAGCATATCAACAAATCAGCATGAACAAGTAGTAAACAAACAAAGAAACCTGCTGCGCTATTTTCGTGTTGCGCTGGCTGCCATCTGCTGTGCTTTTAGGTGGGGCAGGCAAGTAGGGATGGGCTAATTGTTCTGTGCTTTGTTTTTTTTTCTTTTTTTCTTCTACTGTTTTGTTTTTTATATTTCTTAGCCGTTAAATACAAGACAACAATAAGGCACAGCATGTGCCCTACTTAAGCTTGTATTAAGCTAGGTAAGTGTGAGTGTGTTGGTGTGAGTCTCGAGTCTCGAGAGTAAGTGACACGTTGAGTGAATGAATAATTACAGGAAGTAATTACAACTAAACGGAAACGCTCGACAAATGCAGCAACAATTAAATAATCTTTCTTCTTTAACGAGAGCAAAAAAGTGTAAATATAATTAAAAATTATAAAAAAATAAGTGTTTTATATCAAAGATGTCTATCTTAAGTATTTTATAGATGTGATCTGTAGTAATCTAATAAAAAAAAATCAGATTTGATTTTAAACAGTGAAAATGTTAAAAAGAATACTGACAATAGGTGAGATTAGGTTATACCGGCGATCTCAGGGAGATCCACTTAGGCCTAAAAGACCCATTGTGCTACCGTGTTATTTAAAACCCAAGAGTTAATATCATCTAGAACCTTTGACAAAGTGTTTGATGCTATGCAAACAGAGGTCCTGAAGTTCCGAAAGATCCTTAAAAAAGAAAGTCCCTAAAGTCTTAAAGGCGCCGCGCATATGCCGGAAAGAAGCAAACACCACAACTGCGGCAGATATGGTTGAAAGGGAGATTTAGCCTCCTAGCATGGTTACCTAGAATACAATACTGACAATAACAACTCTTTAAATTCTATATTCCGTATTATTATTATTTTAATTATTATTATTATTTTTACTATTATTATTTATTTATTTTTAATATTTATATATTGTAATATTGAATATTGTAATAATAGCAACAAGTACACCAACAAGTTTGAAAATAGTTTTGCTGTCAGAACTTCCCTCAAGATAAGATTGGAAGGCAGGGTTCATTACAACGCAAAGGAAGAAAGCAATTTAAATTGTTGGGCTAAAAACAGATAACATCATAATAGCCAAAATCTATTCAGCCAACCTAGAAATTAGTAAATCCTACCACCTTTACGACTTTACCTCAATATTTTACTTTGCGCATGAAAGGAAGTGTATATTCTAACTGATAGTCAGGTAGTTATTAAAGCTATTTCAACAGTCTGCATTTCCTCTAGAATAGTTCCAAATTGTAGAAGACGTTTTAACGTACCAAGCAGCATTTCCAAGGCAATTCTAGTTTGAGCTCCAATACCTAACACTGCCACAGCCGAAGGTTGATTTGTGACAATTTTTTGAGACAGGTAAATACTCCTGTATTTAAAGAGTGGGTTCATACTTTCTTAGTAGTCAAGAGCTGTCAAGAGCTGCATGGTCTCTTCATTCCAAATGTAGAACCATCGACTTTGGACACCAAATTAAATCGGAAATATCTAGATTAATATCTGTCATAAGAGGACACTGTACTATAAGACGTCATAAAGTTACACTCGGTCTGTAGTACATGTTTACCGACGTTAGAAGAAAAGGCATCAGAGCACCTGCCATGTTTATATCCAGCTTTGTCCAGAACCAGACTTAAGGTATTGGGCGCTCCATTCTTTAACACATATAACGATATTTTTAACATTTGTATTTGCCAAATACTTGCGAACTACTACTTATAGTAGAAGTAGTATTTATAATCAATGCATATCAATACTTAGAACAGAAAGAAAGTAAGTTGCAAGTAAAATATTTTTACTATAACTGTTTTTTTCATCCAAAACTTTAAAAGCGATTTTTTATCATACAGAGAATGCATATATATTCTTCTTTAACATGATCAAACCAATTAATTAATCAATATTCTTTTGCTTAATTATATTTCTGTTTCCCGGCATGTAAGATAGTCTCCAAATTATCCAATATGACTGGACTTTATGAGTCCAGGTAGCTCTGCACATACCCCGGTGTAGAGCATAGCCGTCACTATTTTTGCAGTATTGCTACTTAGCGATATATTGTGGGCATGGCTTTGTAATCAATATTTGGTTATGAAGGTATGACAGTGACAAATCTCTGAGAGATTTGAGAGACTGTAGGTTTGAGTACAAAAATAAATAGAAGACTTTTTCCAATTAACCTTTACTCAAAAAGTCTTCTCCATCCTTTTCGTGTAGCATCACAAATTCGTGTTGATTAGGAAAAGATGACGTGAAATTGAATTTGGATAAAAGGTTTTTAAAAGTGATCAGGAAGATGCCATAAATAAAATGTGTTTGATAAGAAATGCACAATTGCAGAAGCAGTTCAACGTATCACATACGTGACTCCATCCGTTACTTTGCACTCATGTCCTCTTACGCGCAGTGGCGTAAATTGCACACGTACTCACATGTCAAAAAAATGTTTACAAAAATTGTACTAAACCCGTATTTAAAATTGAACTTTAACTTGAAACAAGCAAAAAAAAAAGAAACTGAGCACATTTGGTTTATTAAAAACGTCATTTGCACACGCACTTCTTGGATTCAAATTAGCGAATAAACGTGAACTACACTCCACGCCGCGCTTGTACATCCATGAATGCCATTTGGCATTACTCCGTTTGGCATTACAATTTTTTCCATTATCTTACATCCTTTGCATTACATTTCTCAACGCCAAAAAGGACAACTCACCATTTACACGCGCTTACGCATACGCACACGCCTCTTCAACGAACCATAAAAGGCGTTCAAAGCAACAAAAGCCTCAACACCGAATGGTGAATTCGTGTAATTGTGTATTTGCGCTATCGTGTAACTGTGTCTTCAGCACTCAATTACACAAACGCGTTTTAGCACTATTAAATTAGTAAGTGGCATTTTTCATAGCATAATGTTGAATTGAAATTGAAATTGCCATAAAACGTAACTATTCCGAGCTGGGTATTCCAATGTCGGAGTATATGTGTCTATCTGTACGTATTCTGGCATTCTGGTATTCTGGTGTGCATAAACAGGTACCTGGAGTAGATAATGAATTAAAATTGCTATGAGTATTATGAGTATTTGAAGTGTGAAGAGCGATGAACGCGTGCATGACTGTGACGAGTTCACGCTCGAGGATGGCAATCCTAGAAGAAATATTAATAATTATTATGATTATCGTCATATTGTAGTATATTAACAATTTCAGCCACAGCAATAAAATTTACGAGACGATCCTTAAAAATGCGGTCACGAAAATGTTATTTTCATAAATGACTAAAATTATGACATTACTTCAATGATATGAGCATAAAAACTAGAAAAAAAAGAACAAATAACATTTAAAAAAAATAATTATTTTCCTTAAAGGTTTTTCTAAAAGAAATAAACTAGTTTATAATTTAAACTGGATGTTAGTCTATATGAAAACCATTACAGAGTAACATATTTTTAGAGCATCTGAAAATATTTCTATTACTTTAAAGAAACATCTTCTTGCTTCTCGAGCAAGTTACGTTCTCGCAGTCAGTCTAAGCTTAGAAGAATCTCTTAGGGTTATTAAATAACGTATCGGTTTTCTATAAAATAATCTTATACACACTGAGTAGATATAAAATGGACTAATAAAATTAGTCCATTTCTGTGCCTCATATACATTTTGTCGTGGTGTTTTATTAGATAGCATCGATGGCATAAGTCATTTAAGTCATAACTTATTGAGTTTCATCAAAAGTTTTTAATACTTGTATTGCAGCTGGTGGTTAAGTAGTTATATACTTAGATTATATGATACTTTGATCTTACAAAATAAAATATTACTGATTTCCAAAGAAGTAAAGTCAAGTAAGAAAGTAAAAGCTAAACACCCATTTATAAATAACATGTAAGGGTTAAGTGCAGTTTTTATGATACTTTTTTCTTGTTTGAATAAATTTTTAATTAATATTACTAACTGTGTAAGTACAAAGGATACTAAAAATAAATTTATTTCAAATTTATTTTACAAAAATCAAAAAATTTCAAAAGCTACTAAAAATATGAACTCAATGAAAAAATGCACATGTACTGCACTTGAGCACAATATCTGCGTTTAACCCAAATACAAAATATTTTGAAAATATACGCTTTGTTTATTTAGAAAACAAGAAATGTGAATATTTAATA